TTTACTTCAATTCACATTATACGCTGTACTGGCCACTGATGAAAACATGGATACAATTAAGCTTCCCAAAAATGAAATTAATACAAAATCTCTATCGTTTTTGATCGCACGCTCCATGTAACAATATCATAAAGCGTTGCACGTGTGTACAAAGCAAACACAAAGATTTGATGGGCTCACAATGATCACAGCTCCAGTCCCTTGCGCGAGTTATTAAATTAATGACCAGACACTAATTACGGCATACTGACAACGCGCTGCCCACGGCAGGAGTGGATCAGACCCAGGGCTGGGCATTTGGGCAAATTTATTAGGTTGTATTGGCCTGGCAACATGCAAGCAAGACTAAAAAACCCGGATGCACAAAACCATGTTAATGCTGTTATGGGGATTACGTGAATGATTTCAGACGGAGGAGATAAGTTGTCTAACAGTCAGGACTACGATCCAATCAACCTTACTTACATACATGTATGTACCAGTAGGCCTACATGTTACTGGAACAGCCGTGAGGTATTCGCGAGCACACAAAATTACAGAGACTGAAATTCAAAACTCCTTGGAGTTCCTGCACTGTGCACTTGGATTACAAGATTTGCATTTGAGGACAGTCAAAATTTCACATTTTGGTTTCAAGATCTACATTTATACATGTACTAGTTTGTTTTTGCTTGATTCCATGACAACAAATATGTTGATGCAGGCCCTAACAACTCTGCTTTAGAAAATTTCTTTTTCCAATCACAGCTGAAGTACATAATGTAGGACATTTAGAATGTTTAAAGGTACATGTAGCAAAGAGAACTAAACTTGTCTAGCTCATTAAAATTTTAGTTACATAACACTGTCGGGATTCACCATGGACAAGTGGCACTCTCCGCGGTGCAACAGTGAGTGACAAAATCTGAGCTAAAAAAATGCCTACATGCCTACATGTAGATGGGTCCAACACTATAAAGTGTGTACTGCGTATATCTTTCTCGTGGAATCTAAATAATATGTGAGCACAGACTTCATGGTTCGCTAAATTGTGCGGGATGAGAAACATGAGGAGGGCAACTGAAGAGAATTATGTAAGCCAACTTTGTACGGGTACGGTGAATGAATATACGCAGTACATATATACAAAGTGTATTGCATGTTACAGCATGACCAAGAGGAAGAGCATTGTTGCTACACAACTTGCCGCATGCTGGTGAGCGTCTGATCTACAGCTGCACTGAATACATCTGGGGTTCATTACAGGGTTCGATCAACACAAGCCACAAACAGGCAGAGGGATGAAAATGAAAGTTGATGAATTTCATTTTTGGTGGAGGGGGGGCGAGAAAGGGGGGGACAGTCACAGTTCACAGTAAAGGCAGATCCATTTATTTGCTTTGGCAGTTACAGGGCCACTGCAGCACAAACACTGCGCTCTACTGGAAGACGGTTTGGGCAGGAAAAACATCGTTAATCAAGGAAGTTTACATGGACCGTCAGTAAGTCGCATAAACACTGATGCCGTATATCATAGCAGTAGAGTCAACAGATTTAATAGGCCGCATATTTCTAGGGTTAGTTTGTTTCTCCAATAAAATTTTGTCTTTTATTTGGTACGAGAAGCCAAATAATATTGTCCCTCACAGTTAGACATTATACACGTGTGCCAATGCATTCTTGCTTGACGTCATTTGATCCAAACCATTTGGAGAGGTTAGGATAATGTCCATGTTACTGTTAATTTTTCAATTTGTTTTCCTATTGGGGACATTTTATATGCTTAAAAAAAACAAAGCTGGCATAATGGAATTTTTTCTTTCCTCTCTTCTTTCTACCAGCTCTTTTTTGGGAAGGGATAGCAGTGGAGAACCATATGAGATTCTCTTTTTTTTGTTGGAAAAACAAGAAGTGTTATTCCTGTTAAATTCCCCTTCCACAGGCAATATAAGGGCGATCCAGACAAAACACAAACACAGACTGCAGTCCGACTAAGCTTTAAAATGCACGCAGCCACTATGCTACATGTACATGTAGATCCCACAACGAAGTTGCAGATTTCTGGACAAATACCCAACCAATCAGAGGCGCAAGAGTCTATGATGAATGCATGAAACCGCGTGCCTGATGATGACAAGTTCAAGTAGAGGGGTCTTGGACAGTTTACATCAATATGACCAGTATGATAAACCCTCATTTTGTCAAGAGAAAAGCTTCTTGTTTTGTCCCTCAAAAGTTTGAGCAAATATTGTGGATATTAAATAAAAACCATGTAGAAATTTACCATATGTACATACATGTATGTACACGAACCCACACACTGAAATACCTCAATGCTTTCAAACAATATGTTCAATTTTTCCACATGGTCTTCCCTAAAATCAAGTCCATCTATACTCCTTTTCAGCCACTGAATCCAATAACAGATCAGAATCCTCAAGTCATTCACATTTGCTCCTGATCAAACCATACAAGCTCCCTGTCATGGTGTCACCAGGGATTATTGTGGTAAAATGCATCAGAAAGGGAATGCTCACTTCCAAATCTGTCTGTGTCTGCTAACACCCCCATGTTGACATTATGCCTGTGAATAGAAGCCTCCATTGTACATGTGTACATGCAGTTAACTTCAGAGCAAATGGCACTGCCCCATAAAATTCAGGTTAAATAATGCAAAGGGGGGTCCTCCAAACCCTTAGCCAGTGTTTATTGCTGGCCAGATCCACAGCATTGTGATGCAAAATTCTGCCTGGAGTAGGGCAAACAGGAACCCTCCAGATCTATATCGCAAACAGTCATTTGCATAGGTGTAAACACTGTTAAGCATTGTGTGCAGTGGTATTGCATGTGGTAACACCATGGTCAGGGCACCCTCAGTGCATGTTGTTCTGAAACACACATGAGTAATGGCATCAAGTTAGATGCTAATACATAAAGCCGTGCATAAACCCTACCCTCACATTTAGTGGTGTAGGAATGGTTCATCCATGGATGATGGAGGAAGGACATCCACCTTCAGCCAACTTTGTGTTGTAAATTAGGCTGTGCAGTCAAAACAGTCCATTACACTTCATTATACAGCTGCTAGGAAGGTAGACTAACATATTACAAAGTAGCAGTTTTTATGTAAGATACATATTCATAATTATACAATTGTACATGTTTATTATTCAGAAACATGGCATCCCTCATACAGTTGTGCTTCACTGTTACAATGTTTAATTCTTTATGCCACATGGTGTGAGCTGTTTGATGCCCCAGACCAGTCACTTCCACAGCATTCAGAAAAATATATGAAAATTGGAGACACAACGGCACACCGCTAACAACACGCATAAATTACGAGTAAAGAAAGACATGCTAGATGGTTTTGGTTTCAGGCGACTGGTAACAGTGGACTTTTTTTGGAGTGATACATACACAAATTTGCTGTGATGGTGAGTCTTACTTCAGGGAGTTCAGGCTTTGGCGAATTGCTCTTTTGTAGGAGTACAACAAGGGAGATAAATGTGGGACAAGCCTGCTGATCTCTGCTCCCATTGTAGTGGGGCATGTAATCTGCATGCCGTAACAGGTTAAACCAAACTCACTCTGCATTCTTCTTCGATTCTACGTCAACCTGGAAACTCCTCATTTTGTGCTGGAATCCCCCTTAACATAACAGCCCCAACAAAGGCAGCATTCAAGAATATTGAATTTATCGACTGGCGACAACTTGTAGCATTACGGGCGGATGGGCAAGGTAGATTTGCGATACCAACTAATAGTCTATTGTGAGCGGCTGTCTGCAGTGAATACTCTCCTTGCTCGCTCATCAATAATTTCTGTTCCTGCTCAATGGTCTTTCATTGATTACATGAAGTGCTACCAAAGCTTCATGACTGCACTGTATATGTACCTGTGTTAAAGACTAATGCAGCCGAGTCTATGTACTGTACAAGTAGCACGAGGTTACTGGTATGCATCTCAAACTCCAATTTTTCAAAGTTAATCTTGTAGACAGAGTTATTAGGGGAAACGTCAACTCATCGTGGACACTGAATGCGGTCTAATCAAATAATGAGGCTATGATTAGTAGAGCTTGGAGGGATGCGTTCACTGTGCCTGCTTTCAACATTATACAATTTCATTTAGTTTTGTAGATTTGTTATATACTTTTCTCTGAACTGGGTGAGTTTTAAAATCATACTAAAGTATACCGTAAATATTCAAAAGGAGAGGCATTAACTACTATCAAGAAACACTGCCAGGCTGCCAGGGCTAAATGTACTCTGTACGACTGTGCTGCGAACACAGGGTGTACATAAATTCTATCCAGCAGTTATCTTGCCAAAATTTTTATGGGATAATTACATGTACAATGGACTTTCACTGAGAAGAAAGGGAGAAATATGTTCAAAAACAATATTTGAAAATCTTCACAATGGGGCCAATTCCTGACTCTCTTTCACCAGAATGTGAAATGTGAAAAGGAAGTTAGGCCACTTTTCAGAATATTTCAAAATGTTGAGTCATCCCAAAGACTTTGTAACAACATCAAAAAATTGTTTCAAATGCCAGTATAATCATTCAGTGGACCAGAGAGACATGTTAGGCCTATGTACTGGTATCATGGGTAGGCCTGCTGTAGAAGGTATACATCCTTCATTCATGTGCCTTCTAGTTTGTATATCATATGTACTTTCAGAGTCTTATTTTACTTTCTATCATCTGATCACTGCCTTGTAAATAATAATGCAGTCTACACTGCTTTTGAAACTTTTGGTTCTAAATGGCAGTAGGCCTATTTTATTATACCCAAATGCTTGTTTTGCATTTTTGGCGGGTGATAGAATCATTATACCCGTAGGCGTATGGGTACGGTTTGAACCCTATCTAAGAAAATGAAATTAGCTTGTAAGTTGTAAGCAAGGACCATGGAACATAACCAGATAACCAGGCATTGAGGAGGATGCAGCACACTATCGAGAAATCATTCAAGGAAGGATAGGAAGGCCTCATTCCGCATTCGATCAACTTACCATTTCCCGTATTCGAGCGTTTAACCACACCACACTCAACTTCCCCTTCCAGCGGTCTTTTCCGCGAATCCATCGACTCTCCATTCAGTCCCATATCGATGATGGGCTGACCTACCACGCTGTGCATGGGGTGCATGGGTCCCAAACTTCCCGCGGCGTGGGGTCCCACGAACTCGGCTGTCGCCATTTTCTCCTACCGCCGTGCAAACCTTCCCCCTCCTCCTTAGCCAACTACCCGTTGCGCTTGCCGCGAGTGCAACGTCCGATCGTATACACCTCCGTGAAAATTGCCACAATCCTCACGTCCCTCGCTCGCTGAATCCCAGTTTTTTGCTCCTCACGCGATTCCCATGGATAGGTGCAGCATAGGGTCCTCTCATTCGGATTGATCTCCTGGGATGTTCAACCTGACACACCGGAGGCAGGCGAAGGAAGTAAAGGTGTGAAATCTGGCTCTTTTCTGTTGGCTTTTTAGCGCCCGGTCGGCTCACGTCCTACACGGACACACGTTCACTACAGTAATGCGCACACGTAAGCAGCCAGCTAGCCAGCTAGCTCGCCATACAACAAGTTGCCGTTTGCATATACGTACGTACACACTTCTTAGGCGTGTGATGTTGTGCGCATTATAAATTTGCAGTTTATCATTGACGAAAGAGGGCGGGTATCTCAAAGTTCATCCGGCATCACGTGCAAATTTCACAGGTTTGTTTACACTGTGGATCTGCCTAAGGGGGGGGGGGGTTTCGGCTGTTCGCAAGCGAGTTCGCTTGTTTNGTTCGGCTGTTCGCAAGCGAGTTCGCTTGTTTTGAAGTCATTGTGAAACGGGTGGGGGCGGTCGGGGGAGCGCCTACTGAAAAGTTGTACTCTGTGTTCCTCTCCTATTTGCCCCTACTCAGAAATGACAGGGAAAAGTCTGAATGGGTCCCATGGCCTAACAAATTATATTGAATTGGAAGCTTCATTCGGGACCGCCAGGTTTAAGTAAAATACGCTAGGTTTAAGTAAAATAAAGCCAGTGTTGGAAGAGTTAATTCCTTAGAAACATACCAGTGTAACATCATGAAACATCTGAATTTTTCTATTTGTTTTCGTTAGGTTGATGGGATTGAAGGAGGCCTTTTCGTTTAAAAGCATCAAAGCCAAGAAACACAACCCGTCACAAGTAACAGATAAGCGATAACAAAGGAAAGCTCTTCTTGCAATTCAGAGGCAAAGCTTGTGATTAGAAGTATGACTGGAGATCTAAAATTGGTCTTCTGATGGTTTAAATATTGATTCAGCTGTAAACGGAGTTTTCAGTGGTACAAAAATGTACAACGAAAGGCACTTATTTCACCATGCATTCAGCAGTCTTAAACACAATTCACATTTTCATAAAAAAGACTATATCTGGTATCACTGCTATCACTTTTCTTTTCAGCGAAGCGTTCCCTGATATCGGGGTCACCCATCCCTCCATGGATCACCAAACATTGCCTAGCGATGTATCACACTTCATAACGAGTTGTTCAAAGTCAATTTTTTTGTCAATTATTTTTGCTCAGCCATGGTTGATACTTTTTCAAGTGATTGAAAACAGACAAATGAAAGTCGTGCATATCATTTTTTAAGGTTTTTAAAACGGAAAAACATGAAACGGCTTTTAATCATTGGACAGATTTGTACAAGTACCGTGTGTGTGTGTCGGGGGGGGAGGGAAACCGTCATGTTTACCGTACCAGCACGATCTAGTTACACTGCAGATCTTCAACCTAAATGTAATTACCGCATTGTACCATGGACTACATAGTAACGTGTGTATACAAATCCTGTCGAAATTTTTCTAAACAAGGGAAAATAGTTAAGATGCACTGAAGAAAAATCCTTGGATTAAACTGAGGCCTAAAACAACAGGAGAAAAGACAAAAACTAATGCAAGAAATATTTGAGCTTTTTTCCCTTTAATTTGTAATGGCATCAATTGATGAAACACGTTACAAAACTGGAGTGAGAAAGAAATTGCAAACAGCTGGCCATATTGCAAGAAATCAGCAAAACTATGCCCCAACATTACAATGAACATGAATGCATCCATCAAATATACAACGCAAAAGTTGCAAGGATATTTTTGATACGGTGTCGCTCTTATCATTCTTCAACTAAGTTGTAAGTGTTGAGTCTTTATACTTCAATGGTTGCATTTACATTGTCGTGTTCTTTAAGCAACTGCTACTAACCAGTTTAAGGCAGTAATTAAATAATACCCAGAACCAATACGTGAATGATCAGGCTTTGAAATCGGCTTCATTATTCCAACTCCTACCCTAAAAAGATACCACTAGAAACGCCCCCTTTTTTGCAATGTACATTTGAAATGTTTAAAAACTAAAAGTCAACAAGTGTTTGCCAAATGCTTTCTAAATAAAACCAACCGAGGATGGCCAGGCTAAAAATGAACTCAGTCTGCTGTTTCAATGAAGCTGGTTATATGCAGTGGCAACACAAAACAAACTGAATGCTTCCCAACCGACTTAAGAATATCTGGACTAGCTACAGGCAAGACGCTTCGGACATTGGAACATCAGCTCAGGCTTGGGATCACCGACTCTGCGAACCAAAAATCCAGTCCATCTTCAGTTTTGCGGACTCCAAAAAAGTGAAAGAAAAATTCAGCATCTTCAAAAAAAACGGGGGCAGCTTAACCGAAGATTGGGCATGACGTGCATAAACCAACTGAAACTGTCGCCATATTAATTTTAAGCACAGAAGCTGAAGTAACTACCGCCAACGGTTGATGAGAGAAAAACAATCAAAATTGGAGCCAAGGATAAGCTTAATATTCTCACTTACTGCTAAATATTCACATGCAAATAAAAATTGATGAATAGAGAATGGAGACCGCCACATTGTTCTAGCAAAACAACGGCATCCGACTCGGTTACTCAAGGATTTAAAGTCAAAGGAAAAAAAAAGTGCTTCTTTAGAACTAGATGTACTAATGTTCACTTTAATGTGACCTACTGAATACCAGCACAATTCACTATCAGTATGTACTAAACTTCATTTTCAAATTTTGAATATTTAGAAACTTTGCTTTCTTAATTCTCAGAGTAAAGTGCATTCACTGACGAACAGGTTATAGCTTCTAAATTACACTGGTCAACTACGCACATAATCAAAGGTACCAAACTGACATTTACAAGTGCAAATGCGCAATCACCAAATAAAAACACCAGCATTGCAGTGGTAGCCTAAAATGCAGAGCAACGGCAAAAGGGGGGAAAACCAGTTACTTGCTACACGGTAAGAGTCCTGCCAAGAGTATGTAAAGTGAGTGCTGGTTTCACATGTTCTGAATACACTCCCCGAAAGGGTTTTACCTGTTGGAGGTCTACAACACACACCATGACACTAAATTATCAAGTGACTATGGCAACGCTCATCTTCAACGATGCAATGACACACCTGCTACATTACACTCTAGCCTTGAATTACACTGTATTCTTACCACAGGTTTTAACCATCACGCTAAGAAAGGATGTGACTGCAATGTACACGGCGTAAAACATGTAGCAGGGTAAGGACAGGATGTTCTTGGACATTTCTGCAGTTTGGGCTACCACTTGGCGCAACATCAACTCATATACTTACAGATATATAGAAGAGCATCTACAAATTTTACAATTGCTATCTCTTCCCAGGTTTTTTTTTTCTTCAGTTTAAGATGCTTCTATTTTCCCGACAAATTCTTACAGATCTCAATTTCACACGCTCACCTCCCGCTCTCTGCAAAGCATTTTTCTGTTTTTAGATTTCATGAAGGTTTTAAGCCCAGGCATTGTAACAGAGCTCATGTAATGCGAGTTTGTTTTGTTTTTTTCATTCATCACAACGTACATGACATTGGCTGGTTATCTCATTGAAGCTCCATGCAGGAAAGGCTAGAACACCAACTACACTTAAGTGTACAAGTACTGTCGAGAATACAAACAACGCACAATACAACAACTTGTTCATGATTACTTACAGTAGTACACTCCTTTATACTACGGTTACTATAACTGGTGTAATTACGATTGATATTTAACAGCTAGCCTGAATACACGATGTCGCTAATGTGAATATCCATAAGTTAACAAATGAAATTAAAAAAAAAAAATTTAGGGACCAATGTTGGGGGCGATTGTCATCAAACGCTACAAGACTGCACACTTGTACACTGTCTCTCATGCAATCTACAATTTCTGAATAAATTACACATGGGGATACGTCAATCCATGGCCTAAGCTAAAACTTGTGAGGAATACGTCTCGAACACTCGATACTTCTTCTTTGGCTACAACAATTTTTTTTTTCTTAAATTCAAGTACACTTCCATGGATAAAGAACATTAAGTTGTCCAGCACAGGATTACAACAGTACTTTTGCTTGATTTCCAATTGTCTCAACTCACACGAAAAAAGGTCCAGACAAAGAAGACAGGTGCAAAACTAAAGCAAAACTCAACAGAACAAAAACTTGTTAACTCTTACAAAGTGAAATAACCAAACTCCATCCTAGATGGTTGAATGCATTACTTTAAAACAGCAACTTGCAGTACTTTGAACTGGTTTTAAACATTTATGCTTTTCTTGTTTCCACGATCGAGACATACCAGAAAAACAAAAAAAAACCACCCTCTTTGACAGGAATATTTCAAGAAATGTGTGTCTCCCTTCTTCTCATTAACCACTCTCCTCAACATGGCCGCTGCCTCATTTCTTCTTGCCCAGAGTGAAGAACCCTCCCTTGCCCTTCGGTTTCTCCTTCTTGCTGCTGGCCCCCGAGTCCAGGGGCATCGTGGAGGCCTTCTTCTCGCCTTTCTCCGTCACGCCAGCTGCCGTCTGGATGCAACTGATCCAGTAGTTGACTTCGTCGTCGTCCTTGGCCTGGAACAGGTACTCAATACCACCTGGCAGCCTGCGAACAGAGTAAGCCACACGACCGTGGGTTAGTCGAAGGAACGATCTCCGGGATTCCTTTTCAAGAAACGCCCGTTTCATTTTGTTGCAATGAGAAACAGAGTGGTGCAGAGGAAGCATGCTACACCACATAACTCTGAGGTCCGAGGATCAAAACTTCACTAGGCTACAATTAAGGTGGGCCTTAGGAGTGAGTGTGTCTGTGAAGCACTCGACTCTCGCCACTGCGGTCCTGGGTCCACTTCCAGTCCGGGCCGTATGTCATTACACATGTTCATTAGTTCTCTCCTGTGCCATGTGCGGTTTTCTTGAGTTCTCTGAGGTTTTTTTCCATCTGCAAAACTCAATACTTAAGATCTCTGGCTGCACTCTTTGGGCAATGTCGGTCATTTGGCATCGCATGATGGGCCTTTATATGAAAACTACAGAATTCTGCACATGAAGTAAGGGTATTTTATGGTTTATCACAGGAATTTGGGCCTGAGCTCAAGAGGTCTTTTGTGCTTATGGGGATAGCACTGATTTATTTGCTAGTCCAACTCAAAGTGACAGACCACAACCACAGAATCCTGCATTATGACATCTGTGAGGGGTGTCCAGGTAATCAAACTAGACTGCTTACGTGGTGGACACGCTAGCCTCATTT